CTGCATCGTCTCCTCCCCATTCGCCAGGTTTTCTTCGCTGTCCAAGTCGTTACGCTCTGGCCAGGCAAGTGTTCTCCATCGATGTGCAACAAGGTTAAGGTACACCATCATCAACTTCCTCCAATTCTGTTTCCCGGAATGATTTAAAAATGTGTAGAACGGTAGAAAGCCACAATGCCAAATTTGTTGATCTAATATCAGTTTCTAAAAAAATGGAACTTGATTTCATTTTATGATATTCCGACTGATCGAGCTTAACCTTTAATAACTAATACATACTAACATACATGATTATTGCACAACATTATAAACCGAGTCTCTTGTCCTGTTAATTTCTTTGAAACAGGACATATATACTGCAGAAAGAAGAAATGGATTAAGTTTACAACAGAAAGACTATATTCAATTGACATAGTATGATAAAGTAAAAAAAAGCTTACGTTACCTTTTCTTTAACAAATCATGTAGCTAATGTTTATTTTACTTTTGCAAAATGCATAGTTTCCTCATCAAACAGTTTGAGGGCTTAGTTGAATTGGAGTGTACATCTAAAGCTAAAAATAATGATGTTTGCATCAGCCTGAAAGAAAAATCTCGCAAATAGTGAAAACAAAATGGACAACTTGGAGATTACGAGTTGATCACTGAAAACATGCAAGATATCTTTCCAGCACAACCGACTAGAATATTAAGATTTTTTTTTATAACATTACATATAACTCATGCTGTCACCAGTATGGGTATTAGAGATCAATGACGACTTTAGTGCAAAATGCTCGTTTCCTGCTTATCTTGACCCAATCTATTACAATTCATCTCTTCAGTACTTGGTAGCGCAATCCAATGAGAGATCATAACATGTCCATCGGTCAATAATACCAATGCTTTGATAGCCCATGTCCTGTTATATTCTCATGGGAACAAAATTTGACGTTAGCACTTAGCAGCCCATTTGCAAACCAACCAAGTACCCATGGGCTGGTTTTCTCCAGCAAGGTCATGGCAAAGTATCTTATGTTCTTATGTGAAACAAGTTAGTTAACAACTTTAATTATTTCTTTCATCAACATCGGCGACAATAACAGTGTGTATAGGTAGTAAACCAAAGGTAGGAAAACCTATTGGTAGTATATTCAAGCAAAAGGCCTACAAAGGCGTGGTAACGCTTGGCTGGCAGGTTTTCTCGTAAAGTCTTAATTTTGTATGAAATTTTGACTGAACGTTGACTCAATGGTTTAGGTGTGCATTTGTTGTGAAGTCAAGATACAAGGATTTGTTTCCCAAGGTTTGGCTCCTTTCAAGGACCTATGTTTCTGTTGAGGAAGCTCCCAGCGATCTAAGGGTCAAGCATAAACTAGTTTTCTTTCAAATACTTCTATCCATCCACTATTTTCATCTCTTTCATTGTAGTGGTGAGATTGGAGCCTTCACAAACTTTTTTACGACTTAACAAAAGCATGGGAGCTCGTTGCATGACGCAAGCCGTCTAGGATGTCCCACCTTCAAGAGTAACAAATGTTTCATGAGCAATTGACGAATCTGCAAGTGCTCAAGGATTTGGATTGCTCACTTGTACACACAATCACCCAAACTTTCAACACAACTCAAATCTTACAAACCCCACAAAGAAGTGTTGGTGAGAGCTCACAAGGCTTTTGGTTCAGTTTGGGGGGCATGGGGAGGTAGCATCAACCCCTCCAAATGAGGACGGGGAGGGGTTATATATACTCCACTGATTATAAGAACTACCTGAAAAATTAGTTAAAGTCTAGAACTTTCACACTTGAACATAAACTAGTATTTGGAACTCGAAAACTAGCCGTTGGACTAGAAATATGCGGAACCTCCACAGCTGAAGAAACAACCCAGGTCACCTCACAAAAACACCACAACTTTAAGCTTTGAACTCTGATTGCGCTAATCTTAGACTCTACAAAAAAAATTATAGAGGGCTAACCATTCCAACTGAAAACAAGCTCAAATACCAACAAGTGAAAGTGTTGTGGCATGTCTTTCTCTCATATTAAGGGTGTGTTTGGTTGAGCTGTGGCTTTTGCAAAAGTAGCTGTGGGCTGTGGAAAAAACTGCTGTGAGCTGTGGGCTGTGAGAAAGCTGAAAGCCGTTTGGTGAAACAACCGTGGCTTTTTTAAAACACTTACGAGCGGACCCACATGTCATTCACAGTCCACCCCACTGAACTCTCTTCCTCTCTCACCGACACGTGGACCCCACTCGTCATTATCTTCTTCTTCTTCCAGGCGCACTGGGTCGTGGGCTAGACCAAGGAGGTGCTCTCCTCCATGGAGCGCGAGGTCGAGCGCCGCAACCGCGAGGCCGAGCTCCTCGCCCTCACGTACCTCCACCCCATCTCCACCCTCGACCCCTCCTCCTTCCTCCTCTCACCGAAGCAGCACACCGCACCGAGGCAGGCAGCGCCACTAACCCCAGTGGCCGCGCCTCACCCTTCCCCTCTCCCTTCCCCAACCACCAGAACGGGATGCCCGCGCCCTCCCCTTGCTCCTCCTACCTTCCCCTTGGTCCCTAGTAGCCCGAGGCCCCAGACCGGGGAGCTCCCGAGCTCGCCCGGCCTCTACCCATGGCGGGCCGGCGCGAGGAAAAGATGACCTCCGGCGGCTCGATTGGAGAAGGGAGGAGGGGCACCGCAGAGAGGGGGCGTCGCCGTCGAAGGAGGAGGGGCGCCGCCGTCGGAGGAGGAGGAGGGGCGCCGCCGGAGGAGGAGGAGGAGGAGGAACGGTGCCGGGCAGGGGAGAGCGGCAGGTGAGGGAGATGGAAAAAAAAGAAAAGAAGCGAACCGGTACAACATAACCCGTGGTAGTGGGTAATTTCTTCCAACTTGTGAAAGCCAAAGCTCAAGAAAGCACCTCCTCCCCTGCTGTGAAAAATGAACTGCACAAAAGCAGCTTTCTCTGGAAGCCAAGGAGTATGGGTACCCCCTTTGGTTTGGCTTCTGGCTTTTTTTGGAAGCCACAACACCTAGAAAGCCAAACCAAACGGACCCTAACACTTGGTGTTCAGTTAGTTTGAGCACTTGAGACTTGTTGATCAATTGAAGTTGCATCCCTCTTAATAATATGGCATACCTACACTCAAGATTAAAAGGAAATGTCTATTTTAAACACTTGAGTTTTCAATGTATTCATATGCCGTCTCTTTTGAATATATCTTCATAAGGATTTGCAACCACTCTTGTCTCAATCCTTTGAGCAAATCCACCTTGAGCTTATGACATCAACTATTCTAACTCATAAAAGATCAATTTATTTCAAGTCACTTCAACTTATGATCCAACAATATTTGATACTTCACATTGCATAACTCCTCATGGCATGATTAGTTCATTGGTCTTAACAAAAGCACTTGCTTCTTCATCCTAGTCTTTGTTCCTTGTTTCCAAGCCGCCGCTTGCCCTTCACCATCACTTACTTCCTTGAGGCTAAATCCTTACTTAACCCTTCAAACTATATTTGCCATCCTCAAGTCAAGCTTTGCTTTGTATCAAAAATAGGCACTCAATGAAATCTATATCTATATATCTTATATTTTCAATCCCCACTAGCATTCTATTTCGCCATGCAAGTTGTCCACATCAGCACCCACTAGCACACATGCAGTTATGTCTTCATTCAAGCTAATTACATTAGCAAACTACATCATTCACTAATATATGCTATATACTTAGATATACAATCACAGAGCGGGAGCTCTCTGCACTGGGTACGTTCTTTATACTTAGATATACAATATGTCTAGATATATATAAAAACAATATATTAAAAAGGTCAAAACATCATATAATTTGGCATGGAGGGAATGTCTCTTTGGGGAATAAAACTGCAAAAGGGGGCTGTTGGACATATAGTTAGAGATAGGCCTGACTTAGAGATGTACTTGTATAGCACATCTATAGGCGGCCGTTGGACTATATCTCTAAGAGTCCCTCATGGTCATAACAGATGTACACCTCGCAAGATGCAGAACCGGGTAAGCCACGAAAGGGGGTCCACGGCCTCCTACTTGAGGTGTGAACCTTCCTAATCGGTGGTATGTTACACTCTCTAGAGTTCGGACTGAGATTCGAGTTGCCATGGATATAGAGATTCAAGAGCAAGTTCCTGAGGTAGAGATTTGAACCCCCCCTGCTAGTTCTTGTAATTTTTCTTAAGCAAATGGCAGGACCTCTGTCTTTCGAATTAAGAAGCAAGGGGAGAAAAGCTGTTAGTTCTTCTATATCTGCCGACAATTTGGTCTCCAGGCTTACAATCCATCGTTCTTTGTTTCACTTTTTGCTTAGTGATAAACTTGTTTCTGTTTCCATTTGGCCTTACAAACTATTTTTGAAGATGAAGGTGCACATATTTAAGTTCTAATTCTAGGCCCAGTCATCTAGTATTTGTACATAGCATACTAATAAAAGGAATTTGGTATTTGTTATTGCAGAATTCAATGGAACATATAAGCGAAAGGATGACTGGCACCGAGCGAACAAAAGACCATACCGACAGTTGGAGAGCATGCAGTTACATCTTAGGTGATCACAAATTATGAAATCTCAAACATCTCTAAAACAAGAGATTGCTCAAAACGCTGAGGCTTTGCAGCTTCAATTCGCTTGTTCCAGCTTTCTATTCAGACCTCTGATACGTTCTCCCAGGAACAACATCCTTTTGTGTTCTCCTACAATTTGCAGTGAACCTATGATTTGAGGAGCTGGCATACTATGGAATCCAGTTCAACTTGGTGGCATTTCTCAAGACGGTGCTGCACGAAAGCAATGTTGTGGCGGCAAGAAACTATACGAATTGGCAGGGGACGTGCTGCATCGCCCCGCTAGCTGGAGCTATAATAGCAGATTCTTGTCTGGGCAGATACCTGACTACAGTAGCTTTCTTCACAGTCTATCTGCTTGTAAGCACACAAGCCGCACCCATTGGTAGACCTACCAAACACACCTAACCAGTTCGTTTTCGTGTTGACAGGGGATGGCTGCAATGTCTTTTTCAGCGTCGTTCCTGAAGGTGCATGGTCCATCTCAGTCCGCTGTGTTCTTCCTTGGCCTCTACTACATGATGGCCATAGGAGCTGGTGGCATCAAGCCCTGCGTTTCATCACTCGGCGCAGATCAATTCGATGACAGCAGCCCAGCTGAGAGGCTAAAAAAGAATTCCTTCTTTAATTGGTTCTTCTTCGCCATCAACATTGGCAGCTTTATCGCAGGCACCGGTGTTGTGTGGGTGCAACATCATTACGGGTGGGCGGTTGGCCTCTGGCTCCCAACGTTGTTCATCGCGTTGGCCATTGCAAGCTTCTTGATGGGCTCCAATAAGTACAGGGTCCAAAAGCCTTTGGGGAGTCCAATTGTAAGAGTTTTTCAAGTCATAGTTGCAGCTATTCGCAAATGGAATGTAGGCTTGCCGCAAGGTGATTCTCTTCTCCACGAGCTACCTCAGAAGACGCCAGTGGCAGACGGCCATAATGGCATAATCTGCAGCACACACCAGTTCTTAGGTACAGTAGTTGCCTCGATACAGTGTACACTCCTTCCATAGGCCCCATGTTTCTCTGACCTGGAAGGCAATTTCTTTGCGTAGATTTCTTGATAAGGCTGCAGTGGTCGTCTCATCAACTGAAGAGTTGTCTGGCTCTGATCTATGGAGGCTCTGCACAGTGACGCAAGTAGAAGAGCTGAAGGTGATCATCGGGATGCTGCCCATCTGGGCCAACGGGATCGTGTTCTTCGCCGTCATGGCACAGTTCTCCTCGACATTCCTGGAGCAAGGAAGGACAATGAACAAGCACATCGGTGCGTTCGGCATCCCGCCGGCGTCGTTCAACGCCGTCAGCGTCCTCATCTGGGTCCCTGTCTACGACCGGGTCGTCGTCCCGACAGCCAGACGCCTCACCGGCAATGCTCGGGGGATCTCGGAGCTGCAGCGCTTTGGCACCGGACTGCTCCTGTCGATCGCGGTGATGGTGACCGCAGCGCTGGTCGAGACGCGGCGCCTGGCGAGCGCGCACGGAGAGGGCCAGGCGTCGATGAGCATCCTTTGGCAGGTGCCGCAGTACTTCCTGGTGGCCGCCAGCGTCGTGTTCGCATGCGTTGGGCAGGCGGAGTTCTTCTACAACGAGGCTCCGGCGTCGATGCGGAGCCTGTGCTCGGCGCTGAGCCTGCTGACCGTGGCGCTCGGGAGCTACCTGAGCTCGCTCGTGGTGACCACGGTGGTGTGTGTCACGACGAGGGGCGGCAAGACCGGGTGGATACCCGATGATGACCTTAACAAAGGCCACCTAGATCGCTTCTTCTGGCTCCTCGCGGCACTCGGCTCGCTCAACCTGGCGGTTTTCGTGTGCTGCGCAAGGCGGTACAAGCGCAAGAACGTTTAGATTCAAACCGGCAAGGAAGATCGTTGGTTTATATGTTTCGTTAGATTCATGTATGATTCCAAGCGACGTGATAAAAATATTTCAATCATGTATTCCCTCTATTTCAGATCGTAAGCCGTTTTATGCATGTAAATTTATACTATGTCTAGATATATAATAAAAACTATGTATTTAGAAAAGAAAAAACAACTTATAATTTGAAACGGCGAGGGCGAGGTGGGATCCGGCAAGCAAACCAGCTTCGTCAGATCCATTGGCGAGGCGACACTGGGATCCAGCTTCGTCAGATCGTCCACAATCCCAGCGGGTCTTGTCCACAACCTTCAATCTGCTGCCGATGAGGAAGAAGGTGTGTAGCAACACAGGGAGTTCGAAGCAGAGGTAAGAGCGAAGGCGCGAATCGACAGCGGCTTCCGCAAGGCCACCACCTCCATTTGTTCCCCCGAGCACTGCGAGGATCGCATGCCTCGTCTCCCACTGCGAGGCGTGTGTGAGAGAGATGGAGGACAGAACACATCTTTTCTCCGCCACTTTTAGCTCTTGATAGTTCGTTTTCTTCGACTAGTGAAATAATGGTTAGTTTGATATGGTCCATCTAGATTCTATCCGGCTAAAACTTAAGCGGCTAACTGTTAGCCGGAGGGATCCAAGCAGGCTCTATAGCTAAATCATATATAATATAGAGCAAAATGCATCCAGGTCCTCAAACTTTTGGGGTCTTTCCACCTAGGTCCTTGAACTAAAAAACGACTATCTGAGTCCCTAAACTACTGCCTCGGTGCATCAATGGCCCAAAACCAGCTACGCCAACATCAGCATCTGACCGTGGCTGTGCCACTTTGGCAGTTGGACGCTGTGGTCATGCCAACTTTTCAAAAAAAAAACTGTCCCATTTCTCTTTCTCGCTTCCAAGTCCGTGCTGGGGTGGGATGCCACGAGAGCTTTTTGGAAATAAACCATTATGGGAAGTGGGCTTCGGTGATATGCCATTCCGCAATGGGGCTTCGCCAGCTTGCCATTATAGAACGCGATCCACCCGCTAGAATGCCATCCAATGCCTTTAGGATCCTTTTATTCCTCTTCTGCCCTTGCCCCTTATCTTTTTCTTTGACCAAGCAGCCGCTGAGACGGAACGGAGGCACGCAAAACGAATTGAGCGTGGGCGTGCTCATTCTTCTCCGATGCCAAGCGAGCGAAAGGTCGCACCCACGGCGATCCTCCCACCCACGGTGAGCCCCCATGGCCAACTCCCCCACGCCCGCCCGCCTCCTCACGGCACGCCCACTCGCTCCCCCACGCCCGCCTGCCGAGCGTCGCCTGCGTGGCCCACTTGCCCGCCGTGGCCGGCCCCAGCTCGCCTTGGAGCGACAGCAACGCCTCCACGCCGACCATGGTGCACAACAATGCAGCGACGTCCTCCGCGAATCCGAAGGATTTCAAACAATGAACTACCTCTTTTAATTGCAAGGACTGTAAGTGCCGGTTTCTCAATGTCTTTACAGCGAAGACGGAGAAGAACTACGACCGCTAGTTCTATGTTTGTCCAACTCGAACGGTGAGAACAGTTAGCTACAAATTTTCGTGTGATGTATTTTGTGTGATTTTTTACTTAATTGGTTTCTGTTTATTTGGCGACAGAGGGATGGTGCTGGTTGTCCATTTTGGGAGTGGAAAGAAGGATATGAGCAATACTTGGTTGACACTAAATTGGTGCCTCCAGATTATCAACCTGTTTTCGAGTCTACTAAGTTGACGCAGCAAGTCCCAATTATTGAAAACAAGCTGAACTATGGAGAATCAAACCAGGAAGAACAAGTTAAGCAGCTTAGGGAGATTGTAGTGCTGCTGAAATGTTTGCTTCTTGTTTGTAGACTTGTGTTGGTTAGCTTTGTGTATGCAATTGTCAAGAGTGGGTGAATCTTTTGTACTTGTTATCAAAATGTATCAGTTATGCCAATGACTCAATGAAAATGACATGTTATGTTCTCAATTGACAAAAACTACTTTGTTCTGAAATGTCACAGGGTTCATAAGACCCATTAGTAGGTTGGCACAGGTTCAAATGGCGCAGGGTGAAAAGCATACATGTTCAGGTTCACAAACACATACAAGTCTAGTAGCATACATGTTCAGGTTCAAAAACACATACAAGAGCCACCAGTAGGCTGGCACAAGTTCTTTTTAAACATGACACAAGTTCTCAGACTCATATAAGAAACAGGTTCACAAACACACATGTTCAAATGACGACACAAGTTCTCAAATTTTTTTCATTTTCCTTGGGACCAACTTCTTCGGTGTCGTTCTCTTCTTTCTTGGTGTTCCTTGAGTGGTGCTAAACGACCCATCAGTAGGCTACCCATATGATCCTTCTCCCATCAAGAATGCCAAGCGACTGAAAAAGAAAAAAATTAAGTAACTTAATATTGCAACTTTCAGGAAGTAGAGATGGCTGTCATTACTGTCTTTACCCTCTTGTTAGCCTAATTGGGCTCTCTTGTAAGATTATTTTCTTGGTCGGTTTGGTGGGGCTGGTTACTACAATTGAGTTTTCTGGAACAAATGGGACTATAGTATTATCATTTTCAAACACAGATTTACGATTGCATTTTCATCTTGCACAGTTGCTTGATCAGATTGCACAGTAGGATTTTCAGGCTCCTTATCTTGCTTCTTTGCCCTTTTCGTTGGGATTTTAGTATTTGGCCCATATTTAGTAGTATTTTTCCTAGGCTTCCTTTTCCTTCGAAGAAAAACATTAAACAAATATTTAAAATAGCACGGTGCAATCAGTCACTAAATAAAATGAAGAAAAAAAGATGCTACCTTTTCTTTATCCCATTAAACTTGCACTTGTAGCTAGTTTGTCCATGACCTAATTCACCGCATCACTTGCACTTCCTTTTTCCCATAATTAGTTGCCTCTTTCCCTTAGCAGCTTCCTCAGCTTCTATTTTTGCATCCTTATCGATCTGATTGACAACATCCTTTGCATCTTTTTTGCTCATGCCACCACTTCCCCCCTCCAAACATCCTTTGATTCGTAGTTTTCTAGGCTTTCCAGCAGGCCTTTTACCTAATAGTGCGTTAACTGCAAAGTCAAGCTCAACTTCAGGCCACTGGGTCTTATCTGGAAGTGGCTCTATCAGTCTCTTATAAGCATTCTTGAACCTCTCTACTGAGTAATAATCATGAACAAAGTATTCCATCTTAACATTAATACTTTGTTATGCTGTTATGAGGACCAAGGCATGCTGACGAGGTTTTCCAGTATGCTGCCACTGAAGACATGTACATTCATGCAAATGTGACTTGACAACATGCCTATTATGTGTGCTGGTTATGTCATGTATCTCTGCAGCAAAAGGACATGCCTTCACAACTGTTAGGTTTCCTAAACCCCTAGTCCTTGCTTTCAATTGTTGTAGTACTGCAAGTAGGATCCTACCATGAAGCCTCTCTGAAATTATACGTCTCTTGTTCTCTAGTGTCATTATCATCTCTCTAATCTTGTCAGCAAGCTCACGATCGTCCCATCAGGTTGTGTTCGCCCATTAATATGCCATGGGCAATCAACATTAGCGCAATCAGCAATGTACCTCTTCTTATCTGTTTTGACTAAGTTAAGTTCAAACTCCTCATTTATTGCAAATTGTTTCATGGTCAGTCTAAACTCCTTCATATTTGGATACACGGTGCCAATATCCATACAAGGCTTGTTAGGATCATAAGCATAGAGTCTTTCCCCTAGTACATGATCTTCAACAGGAATTGCAACACCAGTTATGTCAATATCAATGTCAGCAGTTCTATTTTCAGCTGTGCTGTCCCTCTCAGCAGCAGCTTGAGCCTTAGCCTCACTAGGTCTATCATGCTGATCATCATCAGTTCTCAAACCTAGAAGACATAACAACTGATCCTCATCAATTATATCTAGCACACTCTCACCCTCTTCATCAACTATATCAGAAATCTGCAGTCTGTCCCAATCAACACCTCCATAACATTCTATAGCCTGTGAATTGCCAAGGACATCACATGCTTCCTGTTCTACAGGCTTATTATTGCTACCAACATCTCCAATTTCTTCTCCAATTTCTTCTACTGCATCTACACTAACGTCAGGCTTCTCATCGAGCCTGGAAAAATTGGGAAAAATTATAGTGTTAGAAGCCTATTGAGCGAGGTCACTGTATTGGCTTTCCAAACTTAGTTAGAGAAATACAAACACTGAAACAAAGAGGAATCATACCGAATGAGGTCACTCTATCTGCAGTCCATCGGGGAAGGTCACTGCATCAGGGCTTGAAGAAGAAGAAGAAGAAGCTCGGAATAGGAGAGTGGAGTGGGAAGGCGACACCGTGGGGGGCCGGCGAGGGGGCGTCGTGGGGGCCTACTCGTCGTGGGGGCTGCTCGCGTTGGAATCGGACAGAGCACCGCACCTCGCTCGATCCATTCTCTCGACTACCTCCGTTCCATCCTAGGCACGAGGGCGGTGAAAGAAAAGATAAAGGCAGGGCGTAAGAGGAATAAAAGGAGCCCAAAGACAGACATCGGATGGCATTCTAGCGGGTGGGTCACGTTCTATAATGGCAAATTAGCGAAGTCCCGTTACGAGATGACACGTCACGGAAGCCCACTTCCCATGGTCTATTTGCAAAAAGCTCTACCCACGAGGATGGGGTGCCGTGTTCTCGTTCGTTCCTCGCTACCGCGCACCTCTGGATCCTGTGGACGTCGCGCTATGGGCGTCGTCCACGGCATCCGAGGCTGCTCGACGTGGGCTACTGTGCTTCGCTCCAAAGCATCCACACACCAGCGGGATGGCGTCCAGGAATGCGGCGGGGTTCCGACGCGTGGAGCTCACCTCCAGCACACACGACTAGGAGCGCTACCGCTTCGCACGCCTTAAGGCTTAGCCAAGCTCGCGCTCGCCTCCACTCTCTCGCCTAGCCCTCTTCTTCTCCTCTCGATCTCCACCTCTCGTCGCGCGGCACGGCCGCCATGGTCGCCGAACACGAAGCTCGCAATCTGTTGCCGCCGTTCCGTTGTAGCCGAGCCACCCCACGCCTCACCGTCAGCACGACTAGCTGCAACGTAACGAGGCACACCCGGAGCACCCATCCTCGACCACGCTCTTCGTCGGTGCCGCCACCCCGCCACCGCGATGGGCGTGCGCACCCAGGCAGCCGCTCTCTGTCCACGACCGTGGCCCCGACCGCGCGTCACCGCCACCGCGTGGACCTCACAGGCTCCGCAGCTGCCGCCTCCGTGCTGCCGACGGCCATCTTAGTGAACGCGCATGAGCAGGCGAGCGGGGGCACATGAGCAGGCACCGCCGCCGCCGCTGCGGGCGTGCATGCGAGCCATCGCGGCCAAGTGGGCGAGTAGCAGCAGCCGGCATGTGGGCGCGCGTGCGAACAGGGGTCGCGAGCACCGTCACACAGATAGAACAACCGCCATGCCACTGCACGCCGTGAGCACCAGCGGCGTGCTCGCGTACGTCGTCCATGCGCTCGCCAGGGCCAGGTGCTGGTGCGACGGCGCCGAGAACCCACTGTTCCGCAAGGCCACTGCGTACGAACCCGGAGCAGGGGCGTCGAGTAGGCGCATGTGGGTGAGCACTGAGCAGCCGTGTGAGCGGGCACGTGCGCGTGCAGGGTCGCGCGAGGAGGAGAAGCGGGGCTTGGTCGCGGGTCTAGCCGCGGCACATGGAGCGCGCGGGCCGAAGGCGGCACCTGCTCGCGAGGCTTGGACGTGGCGCTTGTGTTGCATGAGGCTCGAGCGCGGGTGGCAGCCGTGGGTCCGCGGTGGAGGAACAGAGAGCTAGCGCCTTCTGTTGTTGTGCTGGCAAACGAGGTGGTGGTAGTGGAGGAGGTGCAGTCTGGCCGCAGCCCGTCTGCCTTAGCCTACGCCGCCGGGGTGCCGCCGGCAAATGCGGTCAGGAACATGGCCACCCCGCCACATGCATGCGTGCTTGACTGACGTCGCGCCGGATCCGGACTCCAGCACTCGGTGATGCCTAGGACGAGGATGGCGGCGCCCACAGCAAACCCACGGCAGCGCAGCGTGGATGCTCGGGCGGTCAACGTCGACGCGGGTAACTGAGGCATCGAAGATCACAGACAGTGGCCGCCCTCCCTTGCACATGTCGGTTTGCCGCAACCACCCAGCAGGCTGGTGGGCGTTCCGGGAGGCCGTGGAGCTGCTCCGCGACAGGCCGGTCTCCAGGTCTACGACCAAGGCGGCGCTGCACGTGCTCGTGCGCACGACGGCGTGGGGCCGCAACCGCGTCAAGGCGGTTGACACCAAGGCGGTGCCCGTGCCCGTCGACATGCTCTTCGACGATGGGGCAGAGCGCCGCGCGTGCGAGCTCGTCCTGGTGGCGCTGGACATGCTCTTCGACGACGCGGCGGACCGCCGTGCGTGCGAGCTCGTCCTGACGGCGGCGGCTGTGTCCAGGGAGCGCGTCACGGCCGCCATGCTCGGGATACGACAATTCTGGAGCTTAGACAGGGGGGTTTGGAAAATTGCGCAGCCATGGTGTACAGCTGCCATTGTGGCACTGCCACGTCGGCTGTTGGCGCTTGCGTGGCGGGCTTTGGATCTTTGGTGCGCGACGACAGAAGATTAGCGACCTAGAGCCTGTTCGTTTGAACTTATCAGTCGGCTTATCAACTAGAATCTACATTATTTTTCTCTCACAACCAAACAATTTCAGCCGACTTTAATAACAAGCTGAACAGACCCATAGATCGTTGGTTTTTTAGTTCGAAGACGAAGACTCCAAAAGTTTGAAAACCCAGGGTGTATTTTATCCTATAATGGCCCTGTTCGCTTCTATTGTAATCCGTACTTTTCAGCTTGTTTTTTCAGTTGGAACGGTGTTTTTCTCTCACAACAAATCAGCCGAAACAGTGTTTCGGCTTGTTTTTTCAGCGAAACGAACGGATCCACTACATCATACATAATTATTATATCACTGCATTATCAAATCAAAGTCTGAAATGTTACACCAATGCCTTGTTTAGATGGTAAATTTTTGCAATCCGGACACTGTAGCACGTTTCGTTTGTATTTGACAAACTTTGACTGATCATGGACTAACTAGGCTCAAAAGATTTGTCTCGTGATTTACAACAAAACTGTGTAATTAATTATTTTTTTACCTACATTTAATGCTCCATACATATATCCAAAAATTATTATGATGAAGAAAGAGTAAAAAAACTTTGGAATTTTAATGGGATCTACCCGAGGCCCAATATACTGTGGGTATCGGAATACTTCTCTGGCAATTCCAAATCGCGTCTCCGAATCTGTATGAATTGACTGCCGCGGTCCCCTCCGTCTGAGACCCTCCTACCAGTCCATGTTTAGTTCACTATAAAATCTAAACTTTGACACTATAAAAAAGAAGATTTTTCGTCACATCAAATTTATAATATATACGTAGAGTATTAAATGTTGATAAAATTAGAAACTAATTACATAATTTAGTTATAGTTTGTGAGACCGAACGTTTTAAGACTAATTAATTGGACAAACGAAATGCTAACGGCGCCGATTCATGGCAACTAAACATAGCCCCAATTATTTTTCTCTGTCGTGACGTGAAATGAATGAAATCCGCCCTGTCAGACGAAGACAGAGCGTTGCCAGTGCGGAGCTTCTTGATCCGCTCCGGCTGTTCCCGTGGACCGTGGACCGGACTTGGGGTTGGGGGAGGCCCTCTGTCTCCAACTCTCCATGGATGAGGCAGCAGGACTGCTGTTGCAAGAAGAGGGTGGAGGTGGGGACCACGAACCACTCCTCCTTCCACTTCCACAGGTGAACTCCCTGATTACCATCTCTCTGTGGTTCAAATTCCATCCCGTAGTTTATCGTAGCCAGTCTGTGAGATTCAGTTAGTATTCCTTTCCGGGCCAGCTATTTTGTTCCTTTCTTTGTTTAACGAAAATTCCTGCTTGAGGAATCCATCCCTCGAGTTCAAGTCAAAACTTGTGAGGCATTCAGAGTTCTTCAGTTTCTGTTTATGAATTTGTGATGCCATGTTTTCTGTTCGAGAAAAATTGTGATGCCATGTTTTGCATGGTAATGTATTTGATGCTAATTCGGAGTTCAGGCAAGTGGGTGGAAAATCCGACTGCCCAAAATAGATGTGTAGTTCTATTTCGACAGGGATTTGTTGAACGCCTACCGTTAATTCATAACTGTTTGCCCATGTTGGGAAGATTGATGGGAAGCAATTAAGTTCCTTTCCTTTTTCTCTGTCTTTCTTTTTGGAGGATAAAAACAGTAGCACTGCTAAAGCATTACGAAAGTGTATGTAATCCATTTAGGCCTTGTTCGTTTCATCCCTAAACCATGGGAATTGAGGGGGATTGGAGGTGATTGAGGAGGATTTTGACTTGTAGAGGATTTAATCCCCCTCAATCCCTCCCAATCCCCTTGGTTTTAGAGCAAAACGATCAGGGCCTTAGGTGGTTTAAGCCTAAGTGCTAGTGTTATCTTTTAGCAGGACGCTGGCCTTTACACAGGTGATGGATCTGTTGATGTCAAAGGGCGCCCTGCATTAAAGCGCACTACAGGCAATTGGAAAGCATGTTTTTTCATCCTAGGTAATTTTTTTGGCAGATGCATATGCCAGAAAACTTTGGCGCATAATTTGGCATGTTCATATTCTGTTACGCACACTATTCTTCGGTTTGATATATGATCACATTAATAATCTCAACTATCCATTGTTAATGTGTAATATGTGATTTTGTTTTGCTTAGGAGGTCAAACTTCCAACATGTTCACCTCTTCTTACAAGTGCTTATATAGTTTCACATACCTAAGATTCTCCATAGGCACTTGGCAGGCGCCGTGCTGCAGGTAACCAAAAGAAAATCCTTGATTTTTTTTCTATAAAGCATCTCTCCAAACATCTGCATTGTACATGAAATTTTATATCCTCAGGAAAATCATATATTCAGCATTAGCCAGAACAGTCAGAGTCATATAGCACAACACGTTTCAAGACTAACCCATATTACAGATCATAAGGTAAATTGAAGCATTCCTGCACTTTATAAATCCAGAAACAAGTTTTGCCAAGTTTCAGCATTGCTAGTCTTTTGACAGGGAATGAGTGTTGTGAAAGGTTGGCCTACTACGGAATTGCGAAAAACCTAGTTACTTATTTGAAAGTGAAGCTTCATCTAGGCAACCTCGAGGCTGCAAGACATGTCACCACTTGGCAAGGGACATGCTATCTCACTCCCCTTGTTGGAGCCATCTTAGCAGATTCTCATTGGGGGAAATACTGGACAATTGCTGTTTTCTCATCAGTTTACTTTATTGTAAGTACAAAGATATTGCCACCCAAGTAATAACCATATTTTAGTACAATATCCATCCCATGCTAACTTAGAAAACAAAATAAAATCTTTGTGGCATATACTACTTAATAATTTATGGATAGTCTTTATTCTTATATTGTGGAGCCCACTGAGCATTAAAAATGAACATGTAGGATATTGGATTGCATCATTAGTGTCAGACTCAGATTAACTTGAACATTTTAATATTTTCATTTTCTTATATTTTTTTATCATGTGAAATAAATGTCTACCCTAGCCTGAAGCACTAGTTAAATCAAGTATATGACTTCTTTTTTCTTTACTGAAGGGCCTGGCTATTTTGACGCTGTCAGCATCAGTCCCAGCATTGCAGCCACCTTCATGTTTAAGAACAGTTTGTCCAGAAGCAAGCTTACTTCAGTATGGCATATTTTTTGTTGGTCTCTATATGATAGCCCTAGGGACTGGAGGTATCAAACCTTGCGTCTCCTCCTTTGGAGCTGATCAATTTGATGACACTGACCCAGCAGAGAGAGCTAAGAAGGGTTCCTTCTTCAATTGGTTCTACTTCTGTATAAATATTGGTTCATTCATATCAGGCACTATCATAGTGTGGATACAAGATAACACTGGCTGGGGAATAGGATTTGCGATTCCTACTATATTCATGGCATTAGCTATTTCATTCTTCTTCACAGCTTCAAATAAGTACAGATTCCAAAAACCTGGTGGGAGTCCACTCATAAGAGTGTGTCAGGTAGTTATAGCAGCATTTCGTAAGTGGCACATTGAAGTGCCACATGATACATCTCTCCTTTATGAAGTTGATGGCCAAACTTCAGCAATTGAGGGAAGCCGGAAGCTGGAGCACACAAATGAGCTCGAGTAATTCTCATTCTCTGTGATGGAGTCACTACTTACTACTTTAGTTTCAGTATCATGTGGCACCACATTTATGTAATCTTTGGAAATGACAGTACTTATTATATGCATAAAGACATTGAACTTCACTACAAACTTTTTACTGTCTCAACTTGAGGATACTGGAAAATAAGTACATAAATGCAATGAAAAATAAATAGGAATTATTCATAGGATCAGACAACCATGATACTTTCTCCCATACAATTGAATTATCCATACTTTGGCCGCAATATATTTCATATGTTCAGAATGAAATAATGGTACGAGCTTATTTATCTTGAAAAGTACTGAAGTAGTTTGATAACAATATATTGCAGCCGAAATTAGTTGTAAAAGTTGCTTTTGGGGGGACCATTTCAAATTGCCAATGTCCTAAACAACACTTCTTTGTGAGTTTGTGACAAAGAGTAGTAGTATGTTGTAGTTCTATTAGACATCCAATACAATAGGAATAGTGACTGCCACTTAATTGTCAATACTCAGTAGTCAATAGTAATCCAAATCAACTTGGAACTCCATAGAGGAAGCAAATGCATCGTGACACCTGTTACTGTGTACTTGTGATCTTGTTAAATGCTTGCTTGTAAATGCAATGTTTGGTAACATAACTTAAGCCTCAGGACAGGACTAGACACATGTTACTTGCATCTTGTACCCTTCTTTTCCTTCTTAATACAAAAGATACGCAGCTCTCTTGCGTGTTCCAGAAAAAACATGTTACTTGCATAATTGTCTTTTTTCCAAGTATGTTACACCTGTAAGCAGCTTGATTTGCAGACTTGTCTTTTGTTGTGTGACTACAAGTCTACAATAACATTTTAGCTACCTCTCTTTTGTGTAGGTTCCTTGATAGAGCTGCCGTTATCTCACCTGCTGATCTGAAGAGCGAATCCTTTACAGACTCATGGAAGCTTTGCACAGTTACCCAGGTTGAAGAATTGAAGATCCTAATAAGAATGTTTCCCATTTGGGCTACTACTATCATATTCAGTGCTGTTTACGCCCAAAACTCTTCCATGTTCATAGAGCAGGGCATGGTTCTTGACAAGCGCATTGGATCTTTCAACATTCCTCCTGCATCTCTCTCAACTTTTGATGTAATCAGCGTCATCATATGGGTTCCACTTTATGATCGCATTCTGGTGCCAATAGCTAGAAAATTCACCGGAAGGGAGAAGGGTTTTTCGGAGCTACAGCGGATGGGAATTGGATTAGTCCTGTCAATTCTTGCGATGGTATCTGCAGCTCTTGTTGAGTTGAAGCGTTTAGAGATTGCCAGGTCGGAAGGTCTTATTCATGAGAAGGCTGCTGTTCCAATGAGCATTCTTTGGCAAATACCACAATATTTCTTGGTGGGTGCTGCTGAGGTGTTTACTTGTATAGGCCAAGTTGAGTTCTTTTACGATCAGGCCCCAGATGCCATGAGGAGTTTATGTAGTGCATTTGCACTTATTACAGTCTCACTGGGAAGCTATATAAGCTCCATCATACTTACGTTGGTGGCGTACATTACAACTCAGGCAGGAGATCCTGGATGGATCCCTGACAATCTGAATGAAGGCCATCTCGACCGGTTCTTTTGGTTAATTGCAGGGATAAGCTTTGTGAATTTGATAGTTTACATGGGTTGTGCTGTGAGATACAGATATAAGAAAGCCTCTTGATTATATTTACGTGAACTCTTGTAATGTGATTCCTGGTGCCATACTTAGTAAATACAATGCATTGTACAGACTTCTGAAGTCCTGCGATTCACTGACTGACTTTCTATTGCAAATCCTACTGTAATTTATTACATGCAGAATAAAGTATCTTGTGATTACTTTGTCTGTGGCAGTAGAGTTATTGCCTTGTTCTATGAAAAAGCTTCCAATTGTTTGTTCAAAGTAGGCCTTTGTGCTACTTGTTTGCTTGAAATGTAGCCACCCTGTTCCGCCTTTTGAATTGTGATTGCTTTAATTTCTTTCATAGTAATACTCCATACCATACATGGATCCAAGTAAAAACATTGCAAAGCAGCCTTTCGCTGCCAAACTTAACACCACAAATTCCATTCTCCTTACGTACATGATCTGTTACTAAGAAAGAGCAGCAAAAAGAAAGACATCAACATTTTATTACTTCAGCAAACAGATGGGATGTGCAACGTTTAGTAAGCCTACATCCATGTAGGTTTGCGTAACAGATATTCTGTCAGGTTGTGAGTCCCTCGCCTTTCTTCTGCATTTGACAAAAGAAACAGCTGGAGCATGTGCATGCTCATCTGCAAAGGAACAAGCGAAATGAGTGTTTAGTATTCCATGGCAGATCTCTCGAGACAGAAGATCACAGAATTTGCAGAAGGAAAGGTTCAAGTGCCATTTTGTTGTAGTTTGCCTAGGTACCGCAAAAAGCTAACTTCCCAAACAATGCCACAATATCAGTACTGCCGTACATTGGCCTTAGTCATTTCCGGTCTTAAAAAGTCAAAAGTTAAAAAACCATTTCCTTGTATATGCAGCACAGATCACCAAAAATCCCTGCAAGAACAACTCCCATTCTTGAAGTGATGGAACCTATTAGAGTCCCTGACAATGATCTCTCTCTGCACAATCTTTGATATTAACTTAATAGTGGTATGACAGTCCCCACAAATGCGCAGATTCTTGAAAACCTTGATGGGAGCACCCTTCGGAGTAGCAATGATTCCAAAAGCAACAGCAAGCCGCTCGCTATGATAACCAATGTCCTGCTGCTTCTGCTCGTCTTCTACATCATGGAGAACAAATCCGGTGTCTGCCACATACCCTTCTTCCCTCATCTTCAGATACAGCTTCTTCAGAAGCGCATATATTTCTTCAGCTTGAGGATGCAACTTATCCCCAACCAGAAACACATGCACCCTTGTCCCAGCTTCAATCCAACTTGAGGCTGGCATTTTAGTAATGCGCTTTAACTCCATGATCCGTCTCGTATTCTCAACTTCATCAAACAAACCAACTGATGCATAAATATTGGCTAGAGTAACATATGTTGCTGGATTTTCAGGTTCAATTTCAAATAATGCTTCTGCTGCCCACTTTGCGAGGCGGACATTCTTATGAATCCGGCAGCCACCAAGCAAGGACGCCCATAGGAACTTGTTAGGCTTTACAGACATTGTGTCGATCATCTCTTCTGCTCGCTCAAACAGGCCTGACCGGCTGAGGAGATCAATCACACAAGCATAATGATCAGCAGTGTGCTCAATACCATATTCATCCTTTATCGAATGGAAGATACCCAGACCTTTATCGACCAGGCCAGCATGAGCACATGCAGATAGAACACCAACAAAGGTGACATGATCAGGCCTGAATCCGGACCTCAATAACATGTCGAAGTAATGCAATGCCTCATCTGGCTGCCCATTCTGTGCATAGCCAGAGATCATGGCTGTCCATGACACCAAGTCCGGCTTTGGCATCCCCCTAAAGACACCCACTGCAGTTCCCATGTCGCCGTACTTGGAATACATGTGCACAAGCGCACTCTCTGCAAAGCATGAATCCCCTGCCCTGCTCTTTGTCATTCGACCATGCACCTGCTTCCCGAGTTTCTCGCAGGTGAATTCTGCGCAAGCACGCAGAACCCCCGCATACGTGAACTCATTCGGTTGAATGCCACTCCTCAGCATGCGCACGAACAGCCTGAAGCCTTGACCATCGCGCCCGGCGTCAAAATACCTCTCCACCATGGCCGTCCAAGAGACGACGTCCCGAACCGGCATCCTATCGAACACGCTCCTCGCGTCGTCCACGCGCCCGCACTTGGCGTACATGTCTGCGAGCGCGCTCCAGACGACGGCATCCGCGTCGATCCCTCTCCTGACCACGTGGCAGTGCAGCTCCCTCCCCGCGCGCGCGCACCGGGCGGCCGTGGCCGCGGCGAGCGCGCTGGACGCGGTGAACTCGTTGTCCGCGCCGGCGCTCCCCGGCTCCCGCAGCATCCGGCGGTAGATCGCGAGCGCGGCGCGGGGCTGGCCGTGGCGCGCGTGGGCGGAGATGACGGCGGACCAGGAGAAGTGGTCCCTCCGGGGCATTCGGTCGAACAGCGCGCGCGCGGAGGCGAGGCCGCGCGAGGAGCGGCCGAGCGCGGCGACGAGGGTGTTGTAGGAGCACACATCGGTGCTTGGGAGGGAGGCGAGGAGGGCGACCGCGTCCGGGAGAGTGGCCGGGTGGGAGGAGAGCAGGTGGAGGATGCGGTTGGAGAGGAGCGTGGAGGGCGGCCGGAATGAAGCGACGGCCGCGGCGATCGCGCGCGCCGCGGAGGCGTGGGAGGCGTCGGCGCGGAGGAGCGGGAGGAGGCGGTCGACGGCGTCGTGGAGCTGGGACGCCGTGGTTACGGACACCGAGAAGGAAGGGTGCTTCATGCGGATAGCGGCTCGCGACGGCATGCATGGCCGCCGTGGTGAAAGTGATGAAACTAAACGAGCTGAGCGAATACTGATACGCGGGAAGCGGCAATGGTGATCCGTGAATGCGACTCATTGCTGCCGGCGAGGAAAAGGAACATACTGTTAAGGCTAAACAATGGCTTCTAAAATCTGTAGCCGCTGAGAGCATCTCCGCTGGTTCTCAAAACCCACTCTCAATCTTGAGAGTTTTCAAAACTCACTCTCAATCTTGTTTACAAACTTTCAACACTTAAGAACCGAGTTCTCAATGCAAATGTACAAAATAGAAATAAAGTATAAAAGTACAAATGGCAAGATAGAAAAAAAAGTATAAAAGTGGTTAAGATAATTTGAAAATAGTCCAAGATTCCTTACACGAAATTGCCTTCTATATTTTAGAAGCGAGATTTTGAAAACGGTTGGTTGATCCAAACAAATGAACAAATGTACTTAGCCTCTTGAAAAACTCATTGGTTTACCGAATCTGTTTTTAGGAACCATTAGAGATTCTCTAATGCAACTATTCCAATTGATTGACATTGGAAAAAAATGAGCTGCTTTGCACAGTTGCATCAAACTGACAGCAGGAGCGTGAATTCGATGCCCAAACCATGACTGAAAGAATTTGCGTGTTGCAAGCACCACAGGTTTGAAAGGGATGTCAATGAAAAATCAAATCCAATATTTGCACTGACTGGAAAGGGGTTCAAACATGTCTTCTACATCATGTACAGGTAGAACACAGGTGAAGTTTTCAGATCAACTGCTTGCATTGAGCTTAAACACTGGTGAAAGGGGTGAACTCAATTGCTGCAGGCGACAATCTATTGACAGATCCGGAGCAAAACACATGCAGACACAAACAGGCTTGGTGCCTACCCTCCGTTATCATCACCTTGGCAGCAGATTCATATCGATGGATCTTCCAGTGCTGCAGTGGTGAAGTCGTTGATTCGTGGATATGCCGCCTTTTCGTCCAGTTGATTTTGTGTCCACTTCAACATCTTTAACAAGCTTGGAAGCTTCGGATCTGCCAATATGGGAAAAGGAATATACAGAGGAGCTTCAGTAAAGTCACAACATATCCGAACAAGGGAGGTAGTAGTTTGTGATTCCAAACAAATAAGACAAACATAATTGCATCGTGTACTGAATTTTAGTGTAACCTGAATAACTTAGGTGCTAAAAACAATTTAAATTTGAGCGTTGAAAATTGTAAACACATATCGTAAATTCTTTAAAACATTCCAGTATATATCGATTTAATTAACACTTTATAAGCACAACAGTTGAAGGGCAGGCCTGGTGCAAACGGTAAGTCTTACCGCCTGTGACCGGAAGGTCCCATGTTCGAGTCGCGGTCTCCTCGCATTGCACAAAGCGAGGTAAGGCTTTGCCATCGACACCGTCCCCAGACTCGCATGAGCGGAAGCTCTCTACTACACATGTACGCCCTTTTTTATAAGCACAACAGAAAAAAAAAAATGGGCCTATACATTTAAATATCTGGACCTGTTGGTCAGTCGCTGACTGTCAAGTTGCAGTCATAATACAACTGCGCAGGATTCAGGTCCACGATACTGCTGAGCCTTACATGTTAAGACAGATGGGATAGTGATAAAATTCATCATTCCTTCTCCAGTAACAGAAACTAATAGAGTTGGCTATAATCTACTCCATTCGCTCTGAAATGTACTTCGGTTTAGCTTTGTCCTAAGTCAAACTTCTCTAAATTTGACCAAATTTATAGAAAAATGCACTAATAACATCTACAACATCCAATTAGTTTCATTTAATACATCGTGTATATGATATAAGACAAAACTAAAAGAGTTAAATGCATGAGCGGCCACTGAACTTGTCAAGGGGTACCACTTAGGTCCACAAACTTTAAAAACACATTTCTGGAGACATAAACTTGTTAAGTGGTGCACCGCAGTCGTCGGTGCGGTCCAGAAATGGATCTGCAGTGCACCATTTAGCAAGTTTAGGGATGTACGGTCCACCAATTGACAAGTTTAATGACCCAGAAATACATGTTCAAAGTTTGTGGACCTAAGTCGCACCCCTTGACAAGTTCAGGGGCACGCTCATGCATATATCCAGGGGCTGTTTGGATTGATGACTGCCAGGCAAGAAGCTGCCCAGGCATCGATCTCCACCCCAGGCGTCCAAAAATCGGACGCCTGGGGGAGCTCCCTGCGCCAGGCAACTTTGCCAGGGCAGTAACCAAACTAGCCCTTAATCCAAACTAAAATGACCTATATTTAGGGCTGGAGGGAGTATTTTTCACAACCTTGAAGTTGTTACATACAAACTTAATAATTTGATAAATTCAATGTCAAATGTTTCAAGGGGTATAAAATGAGAATAGATATGACCCTGTTTCAGTTTTTCCACCTCCTTTCTTCTCAATTATTAAGATATATTGATACCAGCCTCACTTTCCTATATCCAAATATAACTTTGACTGGTTTAATTTAAATAGCAAACTAATCAATGAATGGACATTTACACATGAAAGGATTTGATGTAAATTCTGCTAAATTAAATCTTGAACTAAACAGTAGATGTTACTAACCTTTCTCATGACTTTGGCTTGTAAGAATAGCAGCATTAACTTCACTTGCAGTCTTCAAACGTTGAGAAACATCCAATAGTTCCCCATAAGGGCAATTTTTTACATCTTCAAAAACCAGTAGTGCTACGGTTTTTTCTATCTCTTCAAGAAACGTTTGCTGCGAAATCAGGGGGAAAAAAAGCAGAAACCACACAACATGTCTTTAAAGCGGTTCAGTTGCATGTTGAATAAATTAGATCTGAATCCTGAAATTAAAATGAAGTATAAAGGTAGATCTAAAAAGATACATTTTCTTCGCCTCTCGGTGCAAGTTCTTCTTGAGCAAACTCCAAAGCTTCATTTATTTTTCCCGCGCGAATCAATTCTATTAGTTTCTGTTGCTGGAGATGGAAGTATAGTTGGGGATTCGTGTCCAGAATCTGCAAACATTCATCCAAATCAGCATAACAATTAAGGAGACATGAGTTAACAAATGCTTAGCTCCTCCCAGAAGAACACAAACAAATACAAATGCTTCTAATCTATATCTATTACCTAATAATATATTAAAGTATCTATTACCTAATATTAAAGTACCAATTACCTAATATTAAAGTACGGTGATTTCTTTGGTCTGTTGTCTCTCACTCCCACCCCTTATTTGGTCCCTCACACGGTCTGCCATCCCTCACTTCAACCCCTCTTCTTCCGTCCATCGGTCAGCCGTCCCTCACTCCCACCCTTCTCGCTTTTACCGATCGCAAACCTCGGTCCGTCATCCCCCTTACTCCCACCATTCTCACTTTCACAGATGACAAATGTATACCTAGGAGTTCAAGGCCCGGGGCCCAGCCGAGGTAGACTCTATCCTTCTCCAATACGGCATCGGTCACAATTTGAAGCTACAAAACCATCGCTGGCGCTGCACACTCATGTCATGGCCTGGCTGGCCAAGCCCGAGTTCGTGCGTGTCAAGACTCAGCACGGCTCGGCACATGCGGGCTTGTGGCTCGCCTTCCATCTTACTCAACCTCACAACAAGTTCACACAATAGCCACCCATTTAAGTTGAATCAATCTCCTGACAATTTCTCATGCAGGATTAATCCTTTGTTGCACCTAGCATTTATTATGGGCATTGGGATTTAATTGAATTATTGAAATAAGGTTGGGCCAAGCCCAATTAAGTCCAACAAAGATATAGCTAGCTCCAGGTGACCATGCAACAAGCTGTGCATCCCATTGCAATGTCCGGGAATGTTTGCTAGTATATCGAAAAATAATGAGCATTAAATGACAGAATTTTAATGACCTTGAGGATAGGGCTTCTCCTTTTTTAAGAAAAGGATAATAAAACAACACAACTGTCACAGTAAATCACTATCCGTGCAATATGACTGATTTTTTTCCTGGTCATCTATGTTATCTGAGTTGTATGTAAAAATGAGCCGAACCCTCCTATAAATAAACATTTCACAAAACTTGTTAGCTATTTCCAAGCAAAGGGACAACGAAGGTGGAAACACCATTCTGAAACAGAAAATGCTTGTGGAAAAAGGATGTCACATTGGATCCTCGTCTCATCACTCATTAGTGTTGGGCAAACATAACAATCAACTGAGTTTAGTCAGTAATCAATGAGGTGCCATATTTATACTGTTGGGCGTTTTTTCACATTCGAAATAATTGGCCCTAACTCCTAGATTGGTCCAAGTATATTGGATGCTACTTGTTAAGGGTTTCAGTTGTTTCTACCGGTTACAAAGATGTTCAAAACTGCAACCTGCTCAGCAGGAATCTCCAGCTCTTATTTGAACAATCAAGTATGGCAAACGTGGACAACTAATATATAAAGAGTAGAATAACCAGTAAGAACTGATGATCAAATCAGAAACATATCATTTGACACAACAGGAAGCTCCTGCATACTCTCCAAAGACATGACAGGTCATCAAATTAGATTGGGAAAGGATTCTGTTCCTGTATTCTAAACTAGTTGAAGCTCTAAATTGCTGACAAACACAGTGACAGTACATCCAAGTTACCCACATTGCAAAACTGAGTGCTCCTCTAGTTGACCGAATTTATTTCAGACCTACAGGAAGGATGGAAACCGAATATGCACAACCAGCAATCACAACCTACTTCGAGATCTTCCACAACACAGTAAAATACCTAAATGTGCATCTCGGCCGTTATTCCTTCGTTCCAAATTTCCAGACAGGCTCAACTTAAGCTGGAACTAATTTTGCAAGGGACAGAGACAGAATCGAACCGTGGGGTTAAGATCGTTGATTTTCTCGATCGCCTCCTGAACATTACCCGACTGTACTGCTCTCTTAACCTCCATTCGATCCGTGATGGTCGCTAGGTCAATCTCCGCTGCAAAAATAAAATTAGAAATTCAACAAATTCCCCGGGGAGTTCAATAGCGGAGGAGAGAAAGAGGAGCGTGCAATACGCTGGGTGCCGGACTCGATGCGGAACTTGTCGGCGGCGTCAACGAAGCCCTCGGTGACGAGAAAGTTCATGACGAGGCGGTTCATATCCTCCTTGCGTATCTTGACGTCGCGGAGCTTCCGCTCCCACTCGTCACGGGTCACAACCTTCTTCGAGGACGCCATGGAGGCCGGGGAGTCGATGGAGTCCAAGTCGCGAAGTACGATGCGGGAGAGGAACATCAGATGCGGGGGCTAAGGGAGAGATGGGGCGGACTGCTGGTCCGATCACACAGGCGCCATAAGCCTGCAGCGACGGGCGGCGAGGCAACGGGCTAGGGTTTCGCCGCAGGGAGGGGGCAGCCGGAGGATGGATTGAGGACTTGGAGAGAAGCCGAGGATGAGTCGACGTCGGGAGACCCCGAGAGTCCGGAGGCGAAAGAGTTGGTTGTTACTTGCAACAGTATCCAACCGCCTACTGTGGCAAACTAGAAAATTAATTAACCCTTGTTTAGTTCGCGAAAAGTTTTTCCAAAAAGTGCTACAGTACCCGTCACATCGAATCTTGCGGTACGTGCATGGAGCATTAAATGTAGACGAAAATAAAAACTAATTGCACAGTTTGGTTGGAAATTACGAGACGAACGTTTTGAGCCTAATTAGTACATGATTGAACACTAATTACTAAATAAAAACAAAATTGCTACTGAGAGCCAAATTTCGTGACTTTTCAGCGAACTAAACGCAGCAGCGCTAATAGGGTTTTCACAGTTCGTACAATGATTATAGTGAAATTTTCTTATTTGCAATGCAATAGTCTACTAGGGGGAATTTGTTAAGTAGAGGTGAAGCTAAAAAGTTTCACCGATAAGGTAAAGTTGTGTTGAATGTGACATAATACAAACTTCGCTATACCACACAAATTGGGAGCTTCGCAGGCAAAGCCTGGCCATCCATGATTTGCAAGAAATCCAATAGTAACAAATCAAATTCAAACAAGCAAAGGTCACTAGTGCTCAAAAGATTTAGATAGATGACAACTTTTCTCATATCCTCAAATCCTCTCAAAAGACGGCGTGTTCGTTGGTTGGTGCTGGTGCTGGCTTGGACTGGCTGATGCTGGTTTTTTTAGAGAAAAACACTGTTGGCTGGTTGAATAAGTCTGGCTAAAACCAACAAGTGAACAGGGTCAAAATATGGAATGTAAGTACACTAGCCAGAGAGGAAGAAAGAGAGCTCTAAATATGTTTAACTTGAGATAGGTCGTTCTGGTGTCAAGAGTTACAAAGAGACAGGTGGAGGGGTATATACTCTCTCCTTCTCAAGTAGTTCTTACTGTGCAAGTCAAGCATGGACAAAAAATCGAGAAAACTTAGAGCTCGAGCACATATTAGATGAGAAAAAAATGTCAGGTCCCAAAAATTCTGACCGTTGACCAGAATTGGTGGTCACATAAATAGTGAACCTTAGTGAGCATTAAATCATAAAAAGTCACGAAATTTCAATGGATCTGAATTTTCGGTCAAGACCTAGAATTTCCGACCACATAACAGTTAGCACTCATTTTGCAAAATAAAGGGTCATCTTCTATCATGTCTAGGTTTTAGTTTGAAACTTTTGAGCAATTAGAAACTTTTCATAGAACAACATTCCTACTACGCAAGATATTCAAAAGAAATCACGAAACAAATGATGCTTCCAAATTTATGTCCTTTTTGCCATAGGCTTTGTTGTGTATAGGGTTGTATATCGAGCCAGCTCGGCTCGTTATAGCTCGGCTCGTTATGGCTTGTTATACAAACGAGCTAGAAGACTAGGTCAGCTCGGCTCGTTAGCGAGCTCGAGCTAGCTCGTTTGGCTCACGAGCCAAAGCACAAAATACAGTACATAGAGATTATAATCTCCAGTTAGCAATAAACATATCACATGCATATTTATAATGGAATAAACAAAATACTTATGAATTTTAAACTCGTCTCGCGTGAATATGATGTCGTTGGGTAGGCCGGTGGGGTAACTAGGTAGGGCCATGGGGTCTATTGGTCTAGGATTTTAGTGTTTAATCGTGTTGGACCATAGGCGGGGGATATATGGACTGCTTAAAGTTGTATTGGGCTAGACCGAAGGATATATGGGCCGATTATAGTTGTTGTCATGTGAATTACCTTGCTTGTTTTGGCTTGCGAGCGGCTCACAAGCTGGCTCGTTGATTAACCGAGCTGCCACGAGCTGGCTTGTTAAATAAAAATTCAAACGAGCCGAGTTCGAGCCGAGCCACTAATGAGCGAGTCGAGCGAGCTGACGAGTTACGAGTTTTTCGTCCAGGCCTAGTTGTGTATCGAATTGGGAGGTCTCCTTTTTCCAACTGCACTTTTCACTTTTAATAAAAACAAATGTTCCACAATTTTTGTCAGACCTTTATTTGTATTGTCATTAAATCACCAAAATCCATGAAATGATTAGATGCACTTTCAAATTCCAACTCTCGGTTAACCTAAAGAACCAAATTATATGAATTGTACTTCACTCATTTGTATTCTGGAAGACTTGGTTTATGTATGATGTCTCATATTTGTAAGACTATGTTTAGTTTTATCCATGATGTCTCATATTTGAACTACTATAGATTTGTGTTATTACTAGAAAACTTGCACGTGCATTGCAACGGGATCCAATACATAGTGAGTTGTAGCACGGGTCATAAGTTCGAGTAAAAAATTAAATTAACTTAGTGGTAAAAATCTTTGTTTCTAGAGGAGTTGAAGATTAAAATGGGTATGATCTCTTATTTATTGTTTGTTTTACTCTTATTATATTTATTAAAACAAGAAAAAAACCAAGCGGAGAAACAATGAAAACAAAATAAAAAAAGTCAAGCCAGTGTCAACAACATCCACGAGAAAAGAATCTGAGCATGCTGGAAGCCAAGTAGAAACACAGTCATGACAAAAATTAGAATGTACTCTAGAAAATAGCCACGAAAAAAATCAGAACATATTCGGAGCCAACTGGAAAGCGTCCAAATAAACGTAAAGCAAGACGTACTCGGAGCAAATAAAAACGGACAAACCAAAAAAGTGAAAAAAGAAAAAAAAAGAAACTAAACCAAGAAATTCTACCCTTCTTTCCTCTTAATTAGATTTCAATTCTTATATTTTTGCACTTGGATTAAGATTCCTATTTCGGTTACTCGGAGTTGAAGAGATCTAATTGGATTAAGATTCCTAGTTGTCCATATTAATATATTTTTCATATTTGGATTAGGATTCATATTCACCCGAAATTGGAGAGATCTAATTAGATTATGATTCCTAGTTATATAAAGAGAAGGGCTATATGTGGTTTTCCACATTCACAAAGTTAGTTAAGGGATGGCCGGACTAAAAAATAGGTGGAGAGAAATTTTGCCTCTTTATTATATATATATATATATATATTATAGAGAGATAGATATATAGATTATTATTAGGTATATATATATATATTATAGGGAGAGATAGATATATAGATTATTATTAGGTATAGATATAGATATAGATATGGCAATATATCAGGTGCAAATCAACTAACCTGTGTAAACTTGAAAACTACCAATCAGGACCACTAGATGCTGATCCACTGGATGGGTGAGGGGGCTTAAGCGCAAAAAAAAGGCCGGCGAGTGGGGGGCTTAAGCGCAAAAAAATCCCACCTCTCACCCCATCCATTGGATCAGCATCTAGTGGTCTTGATTGGTAGTTTCTAAGTTTGCACAAATTGGCTGGTTTGCACCTGATACGTTGCCGATAGATATTGCTATACTATTTTCTTATCAATTATTATTATCTGCAATAGAGAAAATATTGGTCAAATTTGTTTTAGAACCTGCACACCTTTTTGTTGTCTTTTAACCTCTGCTGAAAAGGTTTAGTTTGTTCAGCGAAAATCGAATTGCTTGGTTTCTAGAATTTCTTAGAATCCATCTGTTCTCGTTTTCTAGAAACCAAATTTGTTTAAGAACCGAGGAACCGAAGCGAAGAACAGATACCCAGGCCTACATACATGATCCAATTCAAAACCCTCTGCATACAAGGAGCAATGCAGCTATTATACTTGGGCCACACAATTCGCTTAGGCATGTGGGCCGATTCATTTAGCCCATTCAGGCCCAGAAACTCTCAGATTGGTGCAACGAAGGCGCTTTGTGTTGTTTCTCTGGGCCTCTGGGGCTTCTCCTACTTGTGCTGTTTGTTCTCCAGTCGTGCGTATCACCGTCTCTTGGATGGGGACACGTAGCAGCTACCCGATGGAGAAGTATGAGATACATGCGTGCAGATTTTGTGGTGCGAAGTGCAGTAATCGACAGTCATCTGATCCATTGGGCCACTGGAGAGTGGAGACCAAGACGACGATCAAGGATGTTTACGTTGTAAAACATACGGACTGCAGGAAAGATAAGGAAGGAATCTTAATCCTAATCCATTTATACGTTGACTTTTATCAAACTCTTATATCTTGACAGAATTATATATACGTAAGAGTTCTACGTTGTAATTATCTATGTTCAGAAAAATAAATAATAATCTCTCTATCTCTTATATCTCTGTGTTCTACTTTCATCTACTATGTTCATCATGAGAGATGGAGATGAAAATGTCCAAACCGCTGGCAACATATTTTATAACACGTTATCAGCACGACAAGCTCTATGTCGACATCGCCGCTAAGCAGTAGCCACAGCCTCCGCTCATGCCGGCGTCCCTGCCACGACTACTTCAACGACGTCGATATCCCGACGTTGTTAGTGGAACGGATCTACTACCTCTACCTACAACTAATGTGCACTGCATCGACATGCATCGTCGTCGTCAAGCAGGCATGTCTACGACAATGCCAAACACCATATGCGGTATGTATCTACTTTAACGCGCCTCACGCTGCACGTGAGGTAGATCAAATTGACATCCTCTGGTGTGAAATAATCGCATCTTGTAGATTGCGTTTGTAGTCTCGACTACCGAGCGGGGCTAATGTTTTGCCCTAATTATCTGGCCTGGAAACGTAGTAGATATACGTGCATGTATATTCTACACACAGCCAGTAGCTATATACTCTGTATACTTGCACGTATAAGATGAACTTGTACTAAAACATGCTAGAACAGAAGTACGCCGCAATTGTTGGCTCTTAAGCTGCCGGCGTTCCCGTGGCTATCACCAAGTCGTTGCCGCAAATCGTCCCGAAGAACGTATAGATGCAAGAGT